ACCCTTCAAGAGATCAATGAGATGAAGCTTCAGAATGAGAAGACAGGATATTTGCTAAATTTATTTATTTATTTGAAGTATTTATATGCTGCTTTTCTCCCCACAGAGAATCCAAGGTAGCTCATAACAGATAAAATAAGAAATTTAAAACCACTATTTAAATATCACATTTAAAAAACAAACATATAATACCGTGCTGGTCTTTTTGCAGCAAGCAGTATTGTAGATAATAACTAAAATAACACAAAGATATTAAGATGGGGTATAATATTACGCATGGTAATAGTATCATGAGTAAAAGGACTTTCAAAAAATGAAATAAAAGATGCAATTTAATTAAGCAGAAAATTCTTACTGTGTTTCTCTGAAAATAAGACAGGGACTTATATTAATTTTTGCTCCAAAACACATTAGGACTTATTTTCAGAGGATGTCTTAATTTACCGTCATGTTATCTTCTGGTTGCTGCACAGGTGTGGAGGGCAGGGTTTCCCTTAACTAGGGCTTATTTTTGGGGTAGGGCTTATATTACGAGCATCCTGAAAAATCATACTAGGGCTTATTTTCAGGTTAGGTCTTATTTTGGGGGAGACAGGGTAGTTGCAGGCTTATCTAACCTAGCATTTATCAAAATTGTCTATCCAATCTGTTTTCTCTTTATTTTTATTGAAGATCGTTTTTCTTCCACATGATTGCAAGTAGCAGGTCCTATACCTTAGAAAAGGCTAAATCATTAGGACATGGCGCAAAATTCAGAAGTGAGGAAAAACATTGACAATGTTTTGTACCTTCAGTCTGTTTCAGAATTTTGTTGTTCTTGTCCTGCTGCAAAACCAGTTAGGTAGGTTGGAAATTTCCTTGATGCTGTTAGTTTTGTCAGGCTTCCCGATCCTAGTGTCCAAATAAAAGGTCAGGTGAACACTTCTCAGACTACTGGCCAGAATCCTATTGGTGTGTGTGCACTGTGAACTTGAAATGAGTGTGCACCATTGTTCCTGCAGTCTGTCACATGTGCAAATGGACCCTGGTGTTGCATGTGGTAACACACTCAGTCACATGCTGGTGTGCATAACAGATGGCTAGAAAATGACAAAAGCTGCTTCTGCAATACCCCTTAAATGTGTAGTATTTTGCAGTAGAGGTTTCATCAATACTGAAAGATTTGGGAATGCACTCAAAGGATCTCTGACTTTTGACCTTGTTAGCTGGTCTTCTGGGATTTGGAAGTCCAAAACATCTGGGAAGGCAAAGACTGAGAATGAAAGTTCTCTCAAATGTTTTGATAATTTCATGGGGCTGATTTGTATAACAGTTTAATTATCTATTGTTCAATTTGTTTTAAGCTTGTTTTCGGCAAGGTATAACAAGGTTTGTGAGGCATATATTCGCGAAGGCTTTCACGGCTGGGATCTAATGGTTGTTCTGGGTTTTTCAGGCTCTTTGGCCGTGTTCTGAAGGTTGTTCTTCCTGACGTTTCGCCAGGACAGGTTGCTGTCCTCTGAAGATGCCGGCCACAGAGACTGGCGAAACGTTAGGAAGAACAACCTTCAGAACACAGCCAAAGAGCTCGAAAAACCAGCCCGAAAAACCCAGAACAACCATTTGTGAGGCATGTTTATGACAGATTAATGTCATTTGCTCATAGACTCTAAGCATCTGATCAAGTAGGCTGCAGCCCAAGAAAAAGCTTATTCAGAATAAACCTTGTAGGTCTTTAAAGTCCAGTAAGATTCTTTTCTAAAATGTATAATTGTCTGGACTGAATATTGAAACTTGGAAGAGATAATGCCACATCCCACTAGCATCCATCCATGAGCATGACAGAACTTTCTTCCACTTCCCTTCTCTCCTCTCTTCCCTGTAGCCCCTTCAGCCATTCTATATTGCCTTTGGAGAGCTTCTCAGCTGTGCTGAACAGATATGGCGAATGCACAGTGGGTCTAGGGCAGTATTATGCCCAGCAAATTCTACTGACAGCATCACCTCATGGGACGTGGGCCATACAATATTTCCCCTCAACTTATGCATTGAAATGTTATAATTTCAGATCCACAGAGTGACTTCTAAAAAAATGCCTTTCCTGCCTCCTTGATAGTTTATTCCATCTCTTTGCAGGTTTGTGAGAATAATTTCAATTAGCTAAGGATATGAACATTAAGGTAAGACAATAACCTTGCTTTAATCATTAATTATGTCAGGATATTTGCTTTCTATTCCTTGAAAAACTGAGCTTGGAACTGTTTGTGACATTTTGGTGCAACTTAGTTCCAGTGCATGTATGTGAGAGTATTTACAACTCCTGCCAGAATAAATAATATGCATTAATGAGATGCTCAGCCCTTGTTAAATCTGTCTTATACATTTTGATTCTAAAACCTTGTTGCCCAGGAAAGCTGACTAAGCAGCGTTACCATCAGTCTGGAATGTACAAATATATTTCTGTGCTCATTAAACTAAGTGACTCAAGGAACAACTTGAGTAACTAAGGCAGAGCCTCAAGCAAAAACCCCACAAAACTCTGCCATAATTGAAGTGTCAACACTGCTGTTGATGTTATGTCTCATCAAGTCATTTCTAGCTAATGGGCCATCCCACGGGGACAACAGGGGCTGCTTCCCTGGGCGTAAAATTCTGAAGGGCACAACATTAAAAAAAGTAGTAACAATAAATAAGAGTGTTGTAGTCTCCTCCACCACCACAAAAGGGCACGGCTCCTTTTTTATTTCTCACCAGTGTGCATGGCAGTCTCTCAGCATCCCACTCAAGACTGATGGGCAAAGGAAGAGGGCAACGAGGAAAGAAGTTCCCAGATACCAGCTTCCTCCCCTTCCTCCTTCTCCTCAGATACTGGTTGGGATTAGAGATGTGGATGAAGCACCAAAATGGACCATGAATTCCCCCCCCCCAATTGGCCCGAGGAACAACAATCGATTCGTCATTCATTGGGTCTATATTTTTTTACTTTCCCTCAAGAAGGAGGAAAAAGCAAGGATTAAAGCAATCCTACAGCACTTTGATCCCTTTTCCCCTTTACTTGCTAAGCCCCACAAGGTTTAGCAAGAAGGGGGAAAGCAGGGATCGAAGCACCAAAATGGACCACGAATTGCCCCTCCTAATGACCCAAGGAATAATGATCAATTCGTCATTCATTGGGTCTATATTTTTTTACTTTCCCTCAAGAGGGAGGAAAAAGCAGGGATTAAAGTGATCCTGCAGCGACTGAGGGATCCCTTTGATCCCTTCCCTCCTCTTTTATGCCATCCAGGCATAGGAAGAGTAGGAAAGGGGAACCAACCCATCCCCCAGCCGCAGGGGTGGGATTCCCTTTGGGCAGGCTTTATGAAGCTGCCAGAAGGGAAAATCCCTGTCTGCTTATGCCCCTGAGGAACAGCTGATCCGCGAGGGCATAAGCAGATAGCAAACAAATATAAAAGGTTATAGTCCTTGCTTTATATTCATTGGGGTCTCTGGACCCCAAGAATACGAAGCAACGAATATCTGATGAATCAGGGATATTTAACGAATATCTTGATTCATTTTTATATTCGTCCCCTTGTCTAGTTGGGATTCAAATTGCAGCCACTCCTGGCACCAAACCCAGGCTAAGCAGCCTTGAGGAGAGACTTCTCTCCTTGCAGGATCTTTCACCTCACGTCAAGATTTGCAGGTGAGAACTCCTCACGCACAACACAACAGGGACCATGGCCAGTTGTTTTTAACTCTCAAGTTGGCTGGCCAGCTCATGATAGGAGGCTCCACCTCGTTTCATGCCATGGGGCAAATTGGAGTGAGGTGAAGCTCTCCTGAGTGATGAGACAAGGAGAGATTGACTGGGCAGGTCAGGGGAAGGGATGAATTTAGCCACACCCCTCTGCTCCAACTGTTTGGGTTAGAGGGTGCAATACTTACCTTGCCCTGGGTGCTTGGCAACCCATGCTATACCACTGCTAATGGCAACCCTATCAATTAAAGACTTTCCAAAAATCTTATCATTGACACCCCTGTTCAGGTCTTGCAAACTAAAGATCATGCCTTCCGTTGCTGTGTCAGTGCATCTTACATTAGGTCTTCCCTATAGCATCAACTAATAAGAGCAGTTGTTTACAGCAGTTTAAGGGTAGCAATCTCTAGGGAAAAATGGATTTTAAACCTTTCACATGCCCAGGGACAAACATAGCCAAGGCCACATGCTCATAAGCTTTTAATGGCAGACCCTGTTTCTGTTCAGGTAGTCAAAAACTTTCCTAAGGCGTGACTTTCTCTCACAGTCTAGTCTTATTGTTCAATAAAATGGAATCCAACCTTCTAGTTACTGTCCCTTCTTCCCTCCCTAGTCCCATCTTTCTTTATTTTCCAGTGGTATTTTTGTTCTCTCAGTATCACTAGGATCCTAGGAAAACATGACATTTTGTTCTTTCTCTAAGAGTGTATGTACACTACCTAATGACAGCAGTGATACCACTTTAATGACTGTGGCTCTACCCTAACTAATCCTGGGATTTAGCATCTATTGAGGCACTTTGTATTTACTGCTGCAGCTCAGGGGAGTGGAACTGACCTATCCACTAGAAAATTCCAGAAACTCATTATCACATTATGATGACTGTTGTACCACTGCCCTGGCCTACTCCTCTGATAGTCTCGATTCCTCTGTTCATTTCCATCTTGAGATGGGGTGGAGGGGGACTTAAGAAGATCCAAGTGGTGAGAGAACCTATCAAGCATGCTCCGAACTCCTTCTCGCCACTTCCCGGCATGCAGCCTCTTTTCTGTGGCTGTGCCTTTTAGGGAATATTACTCAACAGTGCTCAGTGCACTCAGGATCACTGCCACCACTACCCAAATCCGCTTTCCTCACCTCAGTAACCCAGTAGCATTGTGAGGCAAAGACATTGAAAGTTAGTATCTGGATTTCCTCTGTGTTCAGTATCCAATCAATACGTGGATAGGATTTTATATATTTTGCTTAAAGACAAAGAAAATAAGCAAAAAAGAATAATATGGTTACAAAAGAATAAAAAGGTGGAAGTTACCCAAAAGATTCCTGGTAAAATAGGGAAAAAAATTACAGCAAAGTTACAAAACCAATCTGGGTTATTTCAAAGAAGGTGCACGCTTAGGAAAATAGCAAATGTCTTACTAAACTATGTCTCCTACATGTCCCTAACAAACCCATTACTGCAAACCTGGTCCCTCAGGAATAAGAAGTCAGCACAAGGAGGTGGAATTACTTCTCTCATCTCAACATACTAAGCTGTCTCTCAGGCCTCCTATATACACATTACAATAGGTTTGGTGTCACAGTCACCTCAGTTGCCTGTAATCTCTTTCAGCTGTCTGCAGGATATCTGTGAATATTCTCAATAATCCAGGAGAGGTTATCTGGAAGTTGAGTCATGGCAACTGGACTTCTTTCTTGTCAGGTTGAAATGTTTCTCTGTTCATCCAAGTAGCTTCTTCAGTCTGAGGAGAGTTGGCAGGAGATCCCTGATCTATTCTCCACATTGGTTTCACTTCCCCCTGGTCTGAATAGGTTTGTAAAAACATTTCAACCTAATAAGAAAGAAGTCCAGTTGCCATGACTCAGCTTCCAGACATCTGCAGGATAATTAATTGTTTCCTTAATGGCGCTTCCCCCCTCAACTCACCTTTTCCCTACCCTCAAGTAGGAAAAGACATACTCCATCCATCAAAGAATACTTTGAAATTCTATGTCCCTATTTTTCAGCAACTGATAATGTACATTGTAGATGGCTAAATGCTCAGTGGGTAAGTATCTGGCTGCAGAGCCAGAGGTTCAGAGTTCAGTTCTCTGATATGCCTCTTGGGGGAAAGAGCAGTCTTTGTAGCCGTGGGCAAGCTGCATTGTCCCAGAAGAAGAGGAAAAGCAATCTTTGTAGCCTTGGGCAAGCTGCATTGTCCCAGAAGAAGAGGAGAGTAAAGTACAGTATTCATGAGTAATGGTTGTTGTGGGTTTTTCGGGCTCTTTGGCCATGTTCTGAAGGTTGTTCTTCCTAACGTTTTGCCAGTCTCTGTGGCCAGCATCTTAGAGGACAGTACTCTGTGCTCTGGTGTAGTTGGCTTGGGAGTGCTTCTCCTTAGCACAACAATACACCCACAACAAGACACACTAATCACCCATCTACAAAAAAGACAAAAGCCTATCTCACAGCCATAAATATTGGACTCCCAAGCCAACTACACCAGAGCATAGAGTGCTGTCCTCTGAAGATGCCGGCCACAGAGACTGGCAAAACGTTAGGAAGAACAACCTTCAGAACATGGCCAAAGAGCCCGGAAAAACCCACAACAACCATTAGATCACGGCCGTGAAAGCCTTCATGAATACATTATACTCATGAGTACTCTATATTTGGAAAACCCTGGAAAGAGTTGTCAGCAGTCAACCCTGGAAAGACATGTCAGCAATCAATCAATTGTTTTTTTACGGTCAAAGACCAGCAATATATTACACTGACATGTCAGCAATCAATCGTTTTTTACGGTCAAAGACCAGCAATATATAACAATTAAAATATAATTTCCATAACCTCAAAAAACAGGTGATTAATTATTATGTGACATGACACCACATAATTATTAATTCATGTACATTGGAAACTATACATAATTACAGAAATAGGAAAATACGCAGTAATCATATGATCAACCACAATCATTTTAATTAAGAGTAGCTAGTTCTTGTTGGATGCTGCTGCCTTATTAAATACTTATGGGCTCCAGTGAAAACAAATTTGGGACAAGAATGTGTTCTGTGTTAAAAACAAAGCAACACACATACACCACCACTCCCATAAATTTACGTAGAACAGGATGGGGAACCTTTGGCATCCAAATATTTGGGTACCTACCACTGCAACTCTTTGTCATTGGCATGCTGCCTGGAGTTTCAAGGCGATGAGATTTTAAAAAAATCTGGGAGGCCATTATTTCCCCACCCTGCTCTATGGTTGGGGATGCTGACCAAGCCATGGCCCACCAGATGTTGTCAGACTTCAATGCTCAATAACCCTCTTTAGCACAACATGTGGCGAGGAGTTGCAGTCCAATAACATCTGACAGGCCATAGTTGTCCACCTTACAGAAGCAGTGTCTGGGTAACGGACTACTGAAAAAGAAGTGACTTTCAAAAATGATAATGTGTTTGGCCTTCTTGTATCTGAAGATGTGAGTGACAGCAAATGAACAGAAAAGATTATGTTTAAAATCTTGTCATACTCCTACAGAGCTACATAGGAAGTACAATTTGTCCTTATAGTTAATTATGAAGGGAAGCTTTGAAGGGAAAGATTTATCCCAGTGCCTCCATTGATTTCTTCAAGGAAGAACAATAGAAGAGCTGTTTTCTCCCATCTTCTGTTCATGGAGATCAATGAAGTTGCCAGCTGCCACAGGAAAAACAACTTTTCAGCAACATCATCTCAGCTTGTTCTCCTCAGGGAAGCTCAGCTGGCATCTTCTTTATGTCCTTCTTGGCACCAAGTGAAAATCCTTTTAATTTCCCCTTGCTAAAGTCTGTGATTTTAAAAGCTGGATTGTATCCAGCTATTTTATACAGTATCAGGTTACATCCAGACCTGGGCTGAAATCCTACACCCACTTTGATGAGTATTTAACTCAGTGGTACTGTATACATAGGAGTGCAGCATTAATCTTGCTTTGAGTAAAACAATTGAAATCGTTGAGACCGAAGTTAGTAAAGACTGCTTGGTGTTAGTGGATCTGCCATAGGGATGAACTTGCTGGGTGGGTTATAGCTGGAATAGGCCTACTGAATCACTGGGGACTTGACAAATCAACACCTATATAAATTCCGTTGAGTCAGTAGGACTACTCTAGTTGTGACTTACTGGATTTCAGCCACTATATATTTTTAATTATATTGTGAAACTGATGTGAGGTCTCTGCTGGAAATGTTTGTGTTGCAATTGGTTTCAGCTGTAAATATATGTTTAACATTGTTTATTATTGTACTGCCTTTACAAGCTGCCCACAAATGGTGCAACTAAATATATGTTTACCAATGTTTATTATTATACTGTCTTTACAAGCTGCCCACAATAAAACACCTTAAAGGATGGCACTCTTTCAAAGAGCACAAGCCACTCCCAAAGCGTTGGGTAGCGTTGCCCACTCCTTGCTTAAATTATCATCTGCTAGGAACAAATGAGCTACGACCAGATAGGCGGGATATAAATAAAATAAAAATAAAAAATAAAAAAAATGAATAGCTCAGTGGTTTAGGTGTCTGGTGGTGGAGCCAGAGGTTAAAAGTTCAATTCTCCATTTTGCCTCCTAGAGCAAACAGCCAGCCAGTGTAATCATGGGCAAGCTGCACAGTCCCAGAACTGTCCCCAGAATGGAATGATAAACCTCTTTAGAGTATTCTTTACCTAGAAAATTCTAGAAAGGGTCAGCAAAAGTCAGAATTGACATGTTTAGGAACAAATGAAAAAGTGGGAACGCTAGTCCAGACTACCACTTTAAAGGCTCTTTAAGTCATTGGGAAGAAAATGTATACAGTGCTTCATATTTTCAATTTTATTCTTTTAGGACACAATGACAGTGGCAAAGATGTGTTTTCTATTCACCTGTGAGAAATATTCTGTTAAGGCAGTTTTTAATAAATTACATTTCTTGATATGTAATCTTTCCTGGTGCTTTTGTTTGTTTCCATTATACATGCCTCACTGCTCTGTGGCTTCTTTTTATTGTTGATGTATTGACAGAGGATATGTTCTTGTTGTTCTCAGGCATCAAAATTCTGGGGCTCAATGAAAACGACAGCCTTTGTACTGGGCTGTGGCCTGATCATCTTCGTTACTTTCAGGAACTTGCCCACCTGGTAAGCCCCCCACCCACCTCCTTGCAAGTCAGTGGTTTGGACAAGGAAGTCTCCTCCATGGGACATATAATGCCACCTGTCACTAGGTTCTTTTGCTTTACAGGCACCTACAACATTTATGGGGAGCCTCTGGCGTCTTCTGGCAAACTCAATGGGAGAATCTGCACCATCTCCTAGGAGGAAACGAGTGGACAATTTTCTTTTTAGGTGAGTTGGTTTGAGTGGGAAGTCAAGTCTGGAGGGGTGAAGTCTGGTTCTAACTCAAGAGAATGTTCTGGATGGAAAAGCATGACCTCTAAACTGTCTGCAGCCATATGAGTCGGACAGTTGACATCACTAGTCTCTATTTATTACCACATAAAAATGATGTGAGAGTGTGTTACTTTCCTGCCTGATATGGAAAAGATAATGCCCCGATCCACTACCCTCCTCTCCAACCCACACCTATTCAGAACTATGTAGTGACTATTACGTTCTGAGTGGAAACTCATGTATCAGTATTTATAAACACCACCCAATCTACTTTAAGCATTTTAATGGGACTATGGAAAAGTTACATTTCTGGACAGAACTCTTTAAGAATCTCCAAAGTCAGCATCATCACTCTGTCTTTACTGGGAGATGGTGGGACCTCTGTTCCAAACCACACCTTTTCTTAGCTTCAGCTTTAACAATTAATGAAAGTTATGATATATTTGCAAAGGAAGAATAGAATGAACAATCCTTTTCTTAATAATCTCTACCATGGATTTTGCCTTTTGCGTGGCTGTTGCAATTTTAAGTGGACTGCAGCCCCTTTCCTGGCCAGTCTTCCTCAGCCAACAGTACTTCGGTAAGGTTAGGTTTTGTTTCTTAAAACACATATACTGCATGAGATTTGGGGACTAGATAAAAGCTGGAATGGAACAGGCTGGAATAGGCCAGAACAGGGACTTCTTAATAAAAAGTGATGCCCCAAACAGTGGGATGTCCTGGCTAAAAATCCAAACAATATTTTAGACCTCAAATCCAATGAATTAATACTTTTTTGCCTCAAAACCCATTCAAATGGGAACTTCTGAGTTAGGAAGTAAAAGGTGAAAGATTTATACAATCTGAAGAGAAACACATTCCAGGCATAAAATCAATATTGTGAAAAACAGTGTTTTGGATTGGAGTATGTACCTGTGGATGTTCTCTAACTCCTTGTATTGTTCCATTGACTTGTGTTTGAATGACAAATATATTTTTCTTAGCTTGCCTTTAAATTGCTATTTTGAGACACTGTACAGAAATCAGATTCTTCTTTGTGGTCTCTGTGAATGCACACTAATGGGTTTTAGTGTCCCTGTGCAGAGAAACCTCGGAATATTCTAGAGCTTAAGCACATGGTGCTGGGACCTCCCCCACACTGCCCTTAACCCTAACCCCTGGCACCGAATGCCTCAGTTCCTTTCTTTCCGCTGCTGCAGCAGCACCTCGACATTGGAGCTTACCTGTATTCTGTTAGGAAAACTTACCTTCTGTGGACCTCCCAGACTTCTGACTTGGACTGTTGACATTGCAAACTGCCTGTGAGTTAAAACAAAAGAAAAAACTGGACTGTTAGTACTTTGTTTTCATTCACCACCGCATTTTTGGTTTTATTTATGGCCGCTTCAGGCCTCTTCAAGTGTTGTGAGACCTGCCTGAACAAGATAAGCCTTTTGGAGGGTCATTTGTTTTGTTTGGGTGAAGAACATCAGCCCGCCTTGTGTGCGGCCTGTAAAAACTTTACACAACCGGCACTTACATTGAGACTTCAGTGTCTCTGCACCTTTTTGTGGGAGACGTCCCTTTGCCCCTCGCAGAGACTGTCTATGGAGCCTGCCCAAGCTAGTCCATCAGAGCTTTCTCCAGGTTCAGGCTGTTCGTCATCTTCTAAGGCCTCAAAGGGGCTAAAATGGTGTCAAAATCCCATGTGTCTTCGTCGGGGTCGAGGTTGACGGCTACGGTATTGACACTGAAGCCTCCGTTGGTGTTGATGCTGAAAAAGAAGAAGAAGCCATCGGCCATGCAGAAGCCATCACAGGTGGAGGATAAGGCTGCACCTTCACCTCCAGCTGCCAATTGACCCTGTATGCCTCAGCATATTCTCGGGGGATGAGGAGGTTCCGCACCCAATGCCAGATGCCGTGCCATCCCCGCAATTTAGTCAGTCTCTTGTTGCTGCTCCCAGACTTTGGAACTCCCTCCCACAGGAGGCCAGACTGGCCCCATCTTTGTTTTCCTTCCAAAAGCAGGCAAAGACCTTTCTCTTCAAGCAAAGCTTCCCTCAGTAACCTGTGTGTGATTTTTAGACACATTGTTATGCATTACTGCTTTGACGGAATTGTTAATACTACTTATGTTTTCAATTTTTGTGTTTTCTATGAGTGGCATTTTTAATTTTTTTCTGTACTTATTGATCTTTGCCTTAATATTATCTTAACAATAATAAGATGCCTCCTTATTCATTGTTCATAGTTTCTAAACATCGTCTTTTAATGGTGTTATCCACTGTTGTATACTCACTGTTTCCAATTTTAAATATTGTCTGTCATTCATGTAAGCCACCTTGGGTCCTTTCTGCCTGGAAGGAGAAAGGCAGGGTTAATGTATTTTAAATAAATAAATAAAACAAATAATATTCATTGGGTTTGAGGTCTACAATATTGTTTGGATGCTTGTCCAGCACATCCTCCTTCCAGCCCATTTCATTCTGTTCCGAGTTAAAGATGTCCAGGTACTGTATATGTTTTTTAACTCCAGCCCCCAGAATTCCTCAGGCAGCATAGAATTGGAGTCCAAAAATTCAGATTTGTACACCTCTAGTCTGAATAGCTTGGTGTCTCCCTCAAATTGAGCTCAAATGTCAGCTTCAGATTTGATTTATGAAAAAAATAAAAACAAAAAGTGTCACTCTTTATGCAGAATCAGAGCAGAAGGTAGCTCTCTTGTCGTTGTTCACACACACATTCTCCTCACACATTCTTTCCTTGCACTTCAGGCCCTATACTGCTTCCTTTCCTCATTTTTTGGACTTTCAATGGAATATTACTGGCAGCAGATGTGACCGGGAAGCCTCGTTTCATTACACAATACCGAATTCAGTTGGGGAAGAATGATCCTGTAAGTGTTTTTTCCCACCTCACAATTAGCTTCCCTCCAGGTTTGAATATAATCTCTTTTTCTCTGAAAGAGAGATTATTTTACCCCACTTCAGGTACCCTTTCTGCATTATCTAGGATATTACATGTACTGTAGCTAATTTTTAAAATTGTCCATTTGGAAAGACTTTTCCATGATTACCTCATTGTTTTCCCTCCTTCACATAGATGCAGGAATGTACACAGGTTTCCTCAACGCACGACATCCTAGCACCCTGTGATAAAGTAAGGCAATACTATTTCCAGGACTAAGAAGGTTGGGACTGTTTAAGACAGTGGTTTCCAACCTTGTATCCCCAGATATTCTTGGATTATGACCCCTGGAGATCCTGGTCGGCACAGTGATGAAGGCTTCCGGGCCACAAATATCTGGGCAACCAAGTTGGGACCAAAGATAATCAAGTCTGTGTTTGTGTGTAACACCTAAATGGAAATTTGAACCCAGCTCTCAGGGCTGGTGTCACCATTAAGCTGAATGAAGGCAGCACCTCAAGCAGATGTTTGTTATCACAGGCGGAAAGCAAATTGTCCATTATACTAATTGTGTTCTTATTGCCAGTTTGGGGCATAGGGAAAGGGGCACTGTCCCATGTCGAGCAGCAGAGTTTTTTGGGCTGAACCTCAGCTCCCTCCTGTAATACACTAATTGCCATGTCTCACTGGCTCGTGTTAAGTTTTGGAAAATAACTCAGTTGGGCTTCTTTCCTAGATATTTGGGGGGGGGGCTGGTTCAGTTCCTTCACATGGTCACTTACATGTTCATGTTACTGTGTGGAGAGGGACTAAAGTGCAAGGTTATACATTCAACCTGACAACTCTTTTCATAAGTGGGACAATGTATTTTCCACTGTGGAGATGGGTGAACTGCTGGAACACAATTTAATCTTAGAGTCCAGATTCTTATCTTTTAAAAAAAAGCATACAAGAGACAGATACTGTCTGACACTTATTCCAGTTGCTGTTGTAAATGAACAACTTCATAGGACTTGGAAAGGTAAAGTGGAAACCACTACTTTGCTTATGCCTTTTTTTTCCAGCACCATATAAACGGGAGACTTGATGTCTCTATGCTCTATCTTCATGTTAATTACTCACCATACTCTGAAACAATACATTCCATTCACACACAGTATTCTAGTTAATTATTAGAAATGTCCTCATTATTTGATTTTGGTAGAGATAACAGTAACAAACTACTGAGAGCTTGGTTACACACAGAAAAACATACTATTTGAATTGGATTTGGAATGTTCAAAATTTTTATTTATTTATTTATTTATTAGTACTATTTGAATTGGATTTGGAATGCTCGAAATTTTTATTTATTTATTTATTTATTTATTTAGAAAGGTGACTACATGATACACACGAAAGCACAGTTCTTTCTGTGCTGGGAAATGTGGTTTTTGGCTGAAAGTGAGGTATTTCTCAGCTGCGAGAGTGTCATTTATTTTATATCCCTTCTGAAACTGATTTATTTCAATTCATTTTGGTGTATGCGAATTCCTATGTCAGTGTAAATGGTGTGTGTGGTTGTACATTTTATGTTCCCTCTCCTTCTCCTCTCTCTCTATCTCTTCTTGGGGAGCCAAGAAGTGCCAATCTGGTGAATATCTCTGGTCAGTTTCAGCATCAGCTCCATTCCTTCCTTCCCTCCCTGCCTCCCTCTCTGTCTATCTGTCCCTGCATGTGCCAGGCTGCAAGAAAACCTCTATTGTTTTTCTTTTTCTATCCGTCACTCTGTGCTAGTGCTAAAGCCTGGGTAGCCCCTCATCTAATATATATATAAAACTCAGTTTAAAAATGGATTAAAAGTTTTCCCAAGAGGATGTACACATTGACCTAAAACCCACGACTACCAGGTGACTTTAAACAAAACTCAAAAAACCCTATCAATAATCTGATTTATTTCATTCATGTAACCGTGCCCTGATACACTTTATTACCTTGGTTTTGTAACCCAAAATAAGTACCAGACTTTCTCCCTACGATATTAAGAAAGGGAAGGATCTCAGCAGCCAAACCCAGCCCCCTACAGTACTGAGGCTTCATTTGTCCTAAAGTAATGCCCAAATCATGGAAAGCCATTTTAACTGGAGCTGTGCCTTTAAGGTTTTAGATGAATACCAGGCAACAGTTACAAACTTGATTTAATCAATTAAACAACATTCAAAAGTGTGTGCAGACAGGAACAGGAATTAACCTTTTACTGTGGAGCAGTATGAAGATATTGGGAAGAAATGGGCTAAATGACATGTTCTTTTTATCTGACAAGTTAACATTATGTTCATATGTGAAATGGCCTTATAGGCCCCTTCCAATTCAATTATTCTATGATTCTATGAAGTACAGGTAAAAATCAAAAATAAATAATTTTTTTAATAGTTAGATTATTTTTTTTTACTAGAAGCAGGGTACTTCAACAGCATTATCTTGGCCATTTACTAGATCTTCTTTAGTCCATATGGTGGGGCATAAATTGCATGCACATAAATGCTACATGGATTGAATTTCTCCACAGTCACAGAAAATTTGTCCTGTATCCAAGTTGCTCCATTTCACTTTATTATTCTTTGATCTTCTTACTTCCCTTTAAAGTCTATTAAGTGACTTCTAGGTGGTCCAGCCAAGGTCGTGTCCTGGCGAGAGACACTCTTTGGCATTCATTCATTAGGCAAGATGTGTTGGTTTTGCTTTCCATAGTTTTAAACTAGCCTCTTCTGGTTTAATATTTAAACCACAAAATGTTCCCCCTAGTGTGGTGCAGTATTACCTTATTTCGTTCAGTTTTTATTAACACCTTTTGACACACTTTTTAAAGTGGGGGGTTAGATTTCAGGCAGCTTGTAATAATCCTGCATGATTAATTAACAGCTACATCCACTTGTTTGGCATGTGCTGATTTATACCATATGACACTAGCATATTCTGCTTTGGAAGTAGCACAGAGACAAAGCTGTTCTTCTTGTTTGTGGGTGTGCACCCCAGTCTGACCCAGCCAGTTTCCTAGGTATGTTATTCTGGAAGTAACTTTCTGTTTGGTGTTTAAGCAATTTTTTTTGCAGGAAAGGGTTCAATCCCAAGTGATGCCCAAATACTTTGGGATAGGTTGTGTGTTGTGTGTGTTTAGTCGTTTAGTCGTGTCCGACTCTTCGTGACCCCATGGACCAGAGCACGCCAGGCCCTCCTGTCTTCTACTGCCTCCCGGAGTTGTGTCAGGTTCATGTTGGTTGCTTCGCAGACACTGTCCAGCCATCGCATCCTTGGTCGTCCCCTTCTCCTCTTGCCATCACACCTTCCTAACATCAAGGTTTTTTCCAAGGACTCTTTTCTTCTCATGAGATGGCCAAAGTACTGGAGCCTCAGCTTCAGGATCTGTCCTTCAAGTGAGCATTCAGGGTTGATTTCCTTTAGAACTGATAGGTTTGTTCTCCTTGCAGTCCAGGGGATTCTCAAGAGCCTCCTCCAGCACCACAATTCAAAGGCATCAATTCTCCGGCGGTCTGCTTTCTTTATGGTCCAGCTCTCACTTCCATACATCACAACAGGAAAAACCATGTGTGTGTGTGTTTAGTCGTTTAGTCATGTCCGACTCTTCGTGACCCCATGGACCAGAGCACGCCAAGCCCTCCTGTCTTCTACTGCCTCCCGGAGTTGTGTCAGGTTCATGTTGGTTGCTTCGCAGACACTGTCCAGCCATCTCATCCTCGGTCGTCCCCTTCTCCTCTTGCCATCACACCTTCCTAACATCAAGGTTTTTTCCAAGGACTCTTTTCTTCTCATGAGATGGCCAAAGTACTGGAGCCTCAGCTTCAGAATCTGTCCTTCAAGTGAGCATTCAGGGTTGATTTCCTTTAGAACTGATAGGTTTGTTCTCATTGCAGTCCAGGGGATTCTCAAGAGCCTCCTCCAGCACCACAATTCAAAGGCATCAATTCTTCGGCGGTCTGCTTTCTTTATGGTCCAGCTCTCACTTCCATACATCACAACAGGAAAAACCATGTGTGTGTGTGTTTAGTCGTTTAGTCATGTCCGACTCTTCGTGACCCCATGGACCAGAGCACGCCAAGCCCTCCTGTCTTCTACTGCCTCCCGGAGTTGTGTCAGGTTCATGTTGGTTGCTTCGCAGACACTGTCCAGCCATCTCATCCTCGGTCGTCCCCTTCTCCTCTTGCCATCACACCTTCCTAACATCAAGGTTTTTTCCAAGGACTCTTTTCTTCTCATGAGATGGCCAAAGTACTGGAGCCTCAGCTTCAGAATCTGTCCTTCAAGTGAGCATTCAGGGTTGATTTCCTTTAGAACTGATAGGTTTGTTCTCATTGCAGTCCAGGGGATTCTCAAGAGCCTCCTCCAGCACCACAATTCAAAGGCATCAATTCTTCGGCGGTCTGCTTTCTTTATGGTCCAGCTCTCACTTCCATACATCACAACAGGAAAAACCATAGCTTTGACTATTCGGACTTTTGTTGGCAAGGTGATGTCTCTGCTTTTCAAGATGCTGTCAAGATTTGTCATCGCTTTCCTCCCAAGAAGAAGGCGCCTTTTAATTTCAGGGCTGCTGTCTCCATCTGAAGTAATCATGGAGCCCAGGAAGATAAAATTTGACACTGCCTCCATATCTTCCCCTTCTATTTCCCAGGAGGTGATGGGACCAGTGGCCATGATCTTAGTTTTTTTGATGTTGAGTTTCAGACCATTTTTTGCACTCTCCTCTTTCACTCTCATTACAAGGTTCTTTAATTCCTCCTCACTTTCTGCCATCAGAGTGGTATCATCTGCATATCGGAGGTTGTTGATATTTCTTCCGGCAATCTTAATTCCGGCTTGGGTTTCTTCCAGTCCAGCCTTCCACATGATGTATTCTGCATATAAGTTAAATAAGCTGGGGGACAATATACAGCCTTGCCGTACTCCTTTCCCAATTTTGAACCAATCAGTTGTTCCATACTGTCATGAAGA